CTGTCTGGACCATGTAGATGCGGATCAGGTTCAGAAACTGGAGTTGGTTCCATGGTGGGGGAAGGGGGCGAGGGCACAGCACCTCGTCAGTACACCAAGGGGTAGGGTAACTGGTGGAAGCCTCAGGCACTCGTGGTTCTGAGGTGGCCCATCGGGAACCTTTAGATTGGGTGCTATGCTTGGTGGTATGCCCATGGGGTACAAGATGGACACTGCGCAGGTCCCTGCCACTGCGCAAGCCATGACCCTGCCCACACCTCAGACTGTCTGCGGCCTGACTGGTGCCATCCCCGCTCGGAGTATCTAGAGCTTGTCTCCAAGTCCGAAGATTGGGATTGGGACCGTGATGGCCAGGGAGGTGCTGAGTGGAGCTGAACCGGCGCCGAGCTGGGGAATGGTGCTGCAATACTGGAGAGCAGTGCCATGATCTGGACCTTCATGGGGTCGCTGAATGGTACCGGTGCCTGGAGTGGGACCTGCTATGCGATGGGGATTGACACACGGATTGGCGTCGGGAGCACTGCCACAAGTCTGAGCGGTGCCAGGACTCCGAGCAATGCTGAAGGACAGAGCATCACTCGTTTCCCTCGACATGGTGCCACTCAATGTGGTACTGGAGGTTTGGCTCAAAGGGTGGGTGACCTCGGCGCTGTCATGGCAAGGTATCCCTTGTGGCCTCAATGGTAATTCCATCTCCTTGATTACCTGGGCTGGGGGGTCCAATGGTATTGGACTCGACAGTCCCCCTTGTGGGGCCGAAGTCAACGGTGCCATCTCGGCATTGGGTGCTCCTCTCAAGGACGCTCCCCCTTGGCCAGCTCCCCCTTGCCAGCTTGGCAAGCTGCTCCTCCCTTGCTTCCGCTGCTGCTTATGCACCAGGGAGTGGGAGCGGTGCCGGGTCGATCCTGCTGGTTTCGGTGCCAGGGAGCGGTGGTGTCGTGGGTCTCTGCCAGACTCCTTTCACAGTGCCGCTTCCACCACTGTCGCCAGAGTGCTGCACACCGATGAACTCTGCACCGGGTCTTGCCATACCACTGGAGGCTGTGGTCTAAGTGCCACCTCCATAAGGAGCTGCTTGAGGTAAAAGTCTTGCTCCTTTTTAGTTCTGGTGTGAAGCCCTTTACAAATCCTGCACTTGTCTGCTTGGTGAGCCTCCTCCAGACACTTTAAACAAGCATTGTGGGGGTTACCCGTTGGCATGGGCTTGCTGCAGGACTTGCAGGGCTTGAACCCTTGGGACTTGGGCATGTAAGCCTTCCCAAGGAAACCGGTCGGGATAGAGGGTAAACCTCCCAGCCCAACAGCTAACTAACTAAGAACTAACAAATATGTACAGAGAACAAACAAACAAAGCAAGCTGGGGAAACACGGTAGAACTTGCAAAGCAAGACACCACAATTCCAATGACCGTCACTGGCAGTGAGAAGGAACTGAGGAGGCACCAGGTCAGCAGGGTCATATATTGACCTCCATGAAGGCACCACTCCAGGGGGCTCCACAGCCGACCTGACAGGTGCTGCTCGGGGAAAAACTTTCCAATGACTGTGCATGTGGTGCGCACACACCTAATTGAAATCTAAATGAGCAATCACTCGAAGAAGAACTTTAATTGCTTAAGGTAGCCCGTTCAACTGATGTAGGTCTAAAATAAGTCAGACACCACCCTTTGCTTTCGGGGTTAGGAAATAACTGAGTAAAACCCCTTCCCAGTTAAATCCTGTGGCACCTCTTCCATGGCTCCCATGCGGAGGGGAAAAAATGCATCTCTTGGACCAGAAGTTGCTGCTGTGGGGTCCCTGAGGAGGGATGGAGAGCTGTGTGGGGTAGGAATAAATTTAAAGGAATATCTAATTTCCACTGTGCTCCGCACCCAACGGTCCATGGTGATATGGGACCATGCACTGGTGAACTGGGACACGCAATCCACAGATAAAGGGGAAACAGGATCTGGCATCACAGCAGCTGGTACAACGTCCTCTAACATCCCATTAAAATTTCTGCTTAGAGCTCCTTGTGTGTCTGGGCAGGGCAGACATTATCAACGAGGTAGAAGGCGGTGGGGAGTTGTGTCTAAAACCCCTGCGGGTCTTGATGGGATGGGGGGGGCGGAATATCAGGAGGACTGTAGTGCTTCCATGAAGTCACTGGGGTATGCAATCCCAGGACTTAAGTTTCGCCCTGGAGTCCTTCAGACCATGGAGCATCGTTGGTCTACTCTGAAAAGAGCAAAGCTCCCTCGAAGGGGAGGTCCTGAAGGGTCTGCTGGACCTCATGTAGGAGACCGAACTGGAGCCATGAACTCCTACACTTGGCCACTGCGGAAGTCATGGACCTGGCCACCAAATCAGCCATATCCAGGGCAGTTTGCAAGGAAGACCTGGCTATGGACTTCCCCTCATCACCAATGAGAACTCTTGCCTGACCTCTTGGGAAAACATGTCCTTGAACTTCAACATGCGACCTGGAATCAAACACCAACTGGGAGCTACATGCTCCCTCCCATCCACTGGCACTGATGCCAAGAGCAGGTCCCTATGACAGCAAACACCTCCAGCATGGACAACATCGCAATGGCACTCGTGCCTCGCTGTCCTTTCACCGCCGAAGGTTTGTCTCATACCAGATTCAACATTGCCTGTGTCAAGGCCACAGTCAATGGTGCCGACTGTGATGCCAAGGCAGGAGTGACCTGACCTAGGTCGCACTCCGCTTTGCTCACCATGCCTTGCCTCCTTCAGAGTCATGGCGTGTCCCCTCTGGGCCAGCTGCTTCCTGTGCTTCCTCGGCACCAGAGAATGCAAACGGTGCTGGGACTTCCAGACGGTGGGAGGAGCGCTCCTCACCAACATCAGGATGCTTGGTGGTGAGTCCAACTGGCTCAGCTTGTTGGAAAGTGTCAGCGCCACCATTAGAAGGAACTTTACCTGGCCTCCAGGTCCTCCTTCGTACAGGGTTTAAATTCACGGCAGATCTGACGACAATCCCTGAGGTAAGCATCACCCAAGCACTTTCGGCAACTAGAATGCAGGTCACTCAGAGGCATAGCCTTGTTGCAGGAGGCACAGGGCTTGAAGCCTGGTGACAGAGGCATACCTTCGCACTGGCAACGGATGAAGCTCCTCTAATGGAAAAACAACTATACTAACTAATTAAGACAAAAACTAAACTATATACAATAATGAAGAAAAAAAGAAAAAAAATACAAAGTCCACTGAGAAAAGCTTGCCACAGCAAGGAGAGCAGTTCCAGTGACCATCACGGGCAGTAAGGAGGAACTGAGGGACTGCAGGGTCAGCTGGGCATTTTATACTAGCGCTATGACCACAGGGCACCAGAGAGTGCCCAAGCCACCCCAAATGGTACCACTCAGGGAAAATTTTCCGGAGACTGTGCTCGGGGCGTGCACAAACCTACAGTGGAATGGACATGCACAAGCTCCCAAAAAGAAAGCAAAGCTTCTCTCTCTGGCTTCTGACTATGGAATCAAAAATGGTAAGATATATCTTATGTCCTCATACAAACAAACACACAAAAAATGACGACTAGCCACTGACTCTACATGAGTCTACCAAAAGGGCAATCACCTTCCAAAGTTAAAATAAGGACAATACCCCACAATTACAGGTCGGGGGCAGGAACACCTGATAGAAATTATAAATGTATCAGAATACCAAGCCAATCCCTTATCAACCTTTTCCTGTAGGAAAAGTTAACCATTCAATTGAAAGCAGCCTCCACCCATAGGTCCTGTACCAGAAAACCAATTTCCCTGTGATACATGTTACCTAGGGTATGTCTACATTGCAATTAGACACCCCCGGGCCCGAAAGTCTACACCACAATTAAACAGCTCTTCGCCTGAGCCCCACAAGCCCAGGTCAGCTGGCATGGGCCAACAACGTGTGTCTAATAGCAGTGTAAACACACCCCCAAGGACTTGTCTAGATTAGGAAAATTTCACCAATGTAACTACATACCACTGCAATCCCCCAATATAAACAATCCACACTGGTGCAAAAGAGGGCTTGCAAGATGGTAGCTTTTTAGAGGAGGAGTTATACAGGTGGAGAGTATGTACATTAGGGGTTTTCATCAGCATAACTACATCAATGTAGTCAAATATCACTAGAGCCTGGGCTACTCCCAAACTTGCAGTGGTTTCTAACTAAAGGTGTGATGACGTACCAATTTACCTACGAGAACTGATGCAACTCTGCATTTGGACACTTGCATCAGTTGCCCCAAGGACAAGCTAAACTGATGCAAGACAGATTAAAATTAATGAATGAATGTTTACACACAGCTGCAACTGTTTATCTAAAACAGTGCAATATCACATCTTCTGTTAAATTGGTGTGGCTTGTGTAGACAAGTCCTAAAATTCTCCATCTCATTAGACCAGCTGTAAGATTATTGAATTTTATAAAGTGAAATTTATCATCATGCCATTACTGAAAGAGCTGCAATGTTATCTGTTTAGATGAAGCTGCAGTTTAATATATTCAGACTTCTTGCATGAGAAAACATCATCTATAATCCTCTCAAAATTAGAAATCCATTTTTAAATGTTCTGTTTAACATTACTTAAGACTGTTCACACCAGACCCAAAGATTTTCCCTAACAGGGGATCTAGAATATCTTCTTACTGACCACACAGATGTCATAACTGCATTACATTTCTCCTTCTTTATATCTATGTCACATAGTTTACAAGGTGTTCAATACCTTGCAGAACAACAGAAGTGAAGTTTCAGTACAGTAGGTATAAACAGTCAGCAATGTTATAGAAAACAAAATGTACACATTAGATTCTGCTTAGAGAACGATTTAATGCATGCTTAAAGAAGGGCAGAAACCCAATCACATGATAGAACTACTATATATGCCCAGTGCAACTGCTAGCACTTCAAATTTTATGCAGTCTGAAGAACTAGGCTCGCAGACTTTCTGCTACATTTTAAGATGTCCCCAAGTACACACACACAAATTACAAAAATAATTTAATTTCTGTGATCTTTATTGACCCCTGCATTATACCTATGCATATGAACACTTCCTGATGATCTCCCACTTTATTGCCGTATTGGTAGCTGAAATACATTAGCTATGTTTCTTTAAGACAGGAAATATAAAACTGTTACAAACTGACATCAGTACTATGTGTATACACACACACACACACACACACACAGTGCTATATAAAAGATCAAGAACTGATCCAGACACTTCACAAGTATAACTCAAGGACCATTTACAAACTGTTGGAGCTTTCAAGAGGCAATGGCACTCGATTACATTGTGAGAAACAGAAGAATTATTTCATTATTTTACCAGAGGCATGGTGCAATGAATTGTTAGTAATGCCACCAGGCTCTACTAAACAGTGTTTATCAACTATGGTAGTGCAACTGCAAGGGAAATTAAGGTTAACTAAAAAACCCACGTTTCCATTTTAAAAGAATTTTTCTGGTTAACTTTTTTTTTTAACGGTTTATTTAGTGCCAAAGTCTCGCAACCTCTTACAAGTGAAGAGTCCACTGAGTTCAACATCTGCATGACTAGCGTAATACTTGTTAGTAAGGTAAATTTGGACTGAGTCTTCACTGTACTCAAGAGAAATGTTGAAATAGCTGCATTACCGGCACCAGAAAAACTTAGGTTAAGTGCAATATTATAATGTCAAGTTCTTATCAAAAGACATTTTCTCAAAAGAATATTAAAATTTTCTTAAGTATCTTGCCTCAGACACTGCTTACCTCATACTTATGTCAGAGACATACTGGACTCAAATGAAAAAAAAGTTTTCTATTACTGGTACAGATTTATTTCTGAAACTAACATTTTTCTCTAGCAAATGATTGTCATTTTACATTCAAGACAAAATGTTGATCTTTGCAGTGAATCATGGTATCTGAAGATTCATCTGCATTTACATATATATTATATATAAAAATACTCACATCTAAACCATAAATTAACAATTTTTTTCTTTTAAATCTTATGCTTTTGGCCAATGGCCTTCTGTGTTTCTGTTTAGTTATTTAATCAAAGGTTGCCTTCACCAATCATCATCTGTTACAATTATCCTCAATAAGTCTCAAATTGGGTAGTTTTTCACAACAAAATAAAAGGACAGGTCAGTGATTACACCTTCCGAACACCAGACAATTTTCTGACTAACTTCTGCTTCAGAAATTTCAAAGTTAAACCCCATATTGTCTTGTAAATCTGACTTGCCTACTAAATTTTAAAAGTGTGTTCTTTCCCAACTAGCTCATTTCAATTTTAAGTCATTCTTATAGTAATAGATGACACTGGGAAGGTGTCAGCAGTTCCATTTAAACTTCAATTTATTTCAGATGATTTCTATATGCCACCCACAACACTACCACTACATAATTTCAAATGGTAGAACTGACTCTCTGTTGATTTCTGTGTTGAAAAGGGTAAATTCCTCATTTCACTGCATCAAGATTCAAATGCACATTTCCAGTGCATTAAACTATGTCTTCATAGCTTTAAGAGCACACAAAATAGTACATAATCATTAAAATGATAAATAAGCTGAGAGGGTTGAAAAACTGCACTTTACTTCTTTAAATAGGAACCACATCATTTAACAATTTATCTTAGAGAGCATCAGACTTTCCCTGGCAAAATAATGCTATAGGCTGGCAGGTATAGTGTATCTAAGTTATTCATTTATTTCATTCACTGCCAAGAGTCATTTGTTTTCTAGTTCTAAAATAATGTGAGAACAGATAACTAGAGAACTGGCAATTACATCGCATCAAAAATACATACCTGATGTGTAATTATCAATTTGTGGACTGAAACAAGACAAAATCCTCCCTCTCCTGCCTTCCAAGGAAACAAATTACTTATTTCTGCCCTTGGTAAAGCAAACTATACTAAACTGTATAGTAAATACGATGAAGAGCTGTCACTTCACAAAATACGTACAACTACTATTTCCAAGGAGACTGATTTCAGAATAGCAGCCGTGTTAGTCTGTATTCACAAAAAGAAAAGGAGGACTTGTGGCACCTTAGAGACTAACATTTATTTGAGTATAAGCTTTCGTGAGCTACAGCTCACTTCATCGGATGCAACACTGAAAATAAATAACTTTAAAAAGTTATTCAGAAGTGACCACAGCAGTGCTGGAGATTTTCATTTCAGCTGATCAAAATTCATGTACTTTTTTGTTATAGAAAGTATGGGATACTGACATCAGTATTACAGGATTGGGCCCAAAATACTGCATGCAGTAACACCCATCAGTTTCAATAGGAGATGCATAGACTTAAGGACTGCAGGATTGGGCCTTTCTATATATTGATAAATTCAATTTTTTTCTTTTACTCCCCAAGACAATTTCATTTTATAATTAAAAACAGCAGCCATCTCTGACACATTTTCCACTCTCTGAAAGCCAAGGTTGTAAGATATTTCAATATTTCAAAATATATGTAGGTTATAAAATTTATTTATGTAAGCATTCAGATATGTTTAGATGTAAAAGATATTTAGATTTCACTATAAGCTTCAACAAATATATATTACTAAACCTGGACAATACATATGATTCAGAATCTGCATGGGCACAATTTAAAACTGAAATGTAAACATGAAAAAATTCTGTAAGGAAAAAATAAACAATGTAAAGCTTTATAGGAGACAAGCTGTGTTAAATTTAAATAAACCAAAAGTAGTACCATAATCAGAAAGCCAGCTTCAGAGTGTAAAAAAAGAGAGGGATGTAGGACAAATGAGGAAATTTGGATACGCTGAGGTACAAATAGGAGGTTTCCATAATAGGGCATTTACTATCTTTCCATGGTGAACCCTTCAAATACAAAATCAAACCAAAATCACTTGTCACATAATTGAAATTTTACATGTAATAAAGGCAACGCAATACTCAGTTATGGCCTGTCAAATATTTACCTCACTAACATTATCTACAGAAGATTTGGCTGTTTTGTACACCTTATACAGGTTTAAAGGGTTTCAGTACAAAAATGACACAATATACAAATCTGTATACCAATCAAACAGAACGTTTTTCTATTTCCCAAAGGAGTTATCTTAAAGCAAAATACCTGAGATTTCACAATATCTTCAGTGTCCTTATCACACACGTAAATATACATTGCAGATTTCATAAAAAGACACTTCTCCCTTAAATATGTGCATTATGGTTAAAAAAAACTATAGCTTTAAGGAGCTGAAAAACAACACCCCATCTGAGAGACTTCATTTTTGCTGTTGCACATTCAGGAATGTCCTTTCACTGAAGAGCACTCCATTTATTGAGCGGTAGATCAACATTAGAGAGCACTTTCCTCAATGCAGACACAACAGGGTGGCCTGTTGATTTTGAAAAACTCAAAATCAATAGTTCAGTGAGATGAAGTACTTCCTCCAGTTAGTGAATATCTGGAGAAGAAAAGAAATGGTTATTTTTGGTCACTTTCAAACTCGTTACAGAACAAATAATGATTAAAAAGTCATTAAATTGTGCTGTAAGTAGGAACTTGAAGCTTTGTTCCTTTCCGAATCATACTTAGCATAACTGAAACACTGACTAAAAAAATAACCAAGCTACAGACCTGAATATCATATAAATAAGACATTGCAAGTGCATAACTATGGTTTTGTTCACCAGAATGGCATGGCTCTGTTCAACAGAATGACAACAATCAATCCTCAAATGTCTTTTAGTGGGTACACATTCATTTAATAAATCCTGTGTGTTTTCATTCAAAACCCATACTTTGGGAAACTTGGTATCTCAGCCACCTCAAAGTGTTCTGGGGCAGGAAATCGTTTTTGAACTAAACCTGCTTCCCCCTCCCACCAAAAGAAAAAATAGCTTTCCCATTCCAAAGCTATTAATTTTGGGGGATGGGGGCAGAAGAAGAAAAGTTAAATACATTAATGACAGGTTTCAGAGTAGCAGCCGTGTTAGTCTGTATCCGTAAAAAGAAAAGGAGTACTTGTGGCACCTTAGAGACTAACAAATTTATTAGAGCATAAGCTTTCATGACCTACAGCTCACTTCATCGAATGCATACAGTGGAAAATACAGTGGGGAGATTTTATATACACAGAGAACATGAAACAATGGGTGTTACCATACACACTGAAATGAGAGTGATCAAGAAAGGTGAGCTACTACCAGCAGGAGAGAGGGTTAGGGGGGGAACCTTCTGTAGTGATAATCAAGGTGGGCCATTTCCAGCACTTTACAAGAACAGTAGGAGGGGAAATAAACAAGGGGAAATAGTTGTACTTTGTGTAATGACACATCCACTCCCAGTCTTTATTCAAGCCTAAGTTAATTATATCCAGTTTGCAAATTAATTCCAATTCAGCAGTCTCTCGCTGGAGTCTGTTTTTGAAGTTTTTTGTTGAAGAATTGCCACTTTTAGGTCTGTAATCGAGTGACCAAAGAGATTGACGTATTCTCCGACTGGTTTTTGAATGTTATAATTCTTGACGTCTGATTTGTGTCCATTGATTCTTTTACGTAGAGACTGTACAGCATGTACATGGCAGAGGGGCATTGCTGGCACATAATGGCATATATCACATTGGTAGATGTGCAGGTGAACGAGCCTCTGATAGCGTGGCTGATGTGATTAGGCCCTATGATGATGTCATAAATATTCCTTTTCTTAATACATTAAGTTTCACTAAATTTTAAAGAATATTAGAGACCAGAATATGCTCTTTCTAATCACTACACCAGAACCCATGTTTAAGAATTTCTACTGTTCCTCGGTGCTCACCACAACTCGCTAGGGCAAGGTATTGTACTTTATAAAATCTTGTTAATGGCAAGAATTATTGAGATCACCAGTGAAAAGATAATTTTAGACATTAAAATGTGTAAAGAAAAGAACTTGATACTATAAAAGATGTGATCAAATGGCAACAGTATTTAATATGGAAAGTATACTGAAGTGTGCACAAATAAATGATATTTCACCTTCATAGCTGTGTTCGAGAGGAATATCTGAAATTAGTAACTTGGATGTGAAAAGCACCTGTGGGTTATAGTGGATCACAAACTGAATATTAATCAACAAATACAATGCATTTGCAAAAAATGCTAGTATCGTTCTGGGGCGTATTAACTAACAGGAGTGCAATACATAAGACATGGAAGGTTATTGTCCCACTCTACTCAGCACTGGTGACACCTCAGCTGGAGTACCCTGTCCAGTTTTGAGCACCATACTTTGTCAATATCTTTCTTACACTGGAAAGCTCAGAGGAGAGCAACAAAAATTATCAAAGGTTTAGAAAACCTGGTTTCTAAGGACTATTATACAGTGACCAATTCTTCTCCATGTCCACTGAAGGTAGGACAAGAAGTAATTGTCTTAAACTGCAGCAGGGAACATTTAGATTAGATAACAGTAAAATCTTTCTAGCTATAAGGATAGTTAAGCACTGGAATACGCTTCCAAAGGGAGGTTGTGGGATCCCTGTCACAGGGAGGTTTTAAGAACAGGTTAGACAAACACCTGTCAGATATTGTCTAGGTATATTTGATCCTACCTCAGCATGGGGAGCTGGACTAAATGACCTCTCAAGGTCCTTTGCAGTCCTACATTTCTATGATTATCTAAAACTGACAAAAAAGATGAATATGCCTGAAAAATCCTGTTATTCAAATGCAAAGATGTTTTTCTGATGGGAGTCTAGTTTTAAAGTCTTGAAATAATTTTTTGTAAAGACTTTTTGGTCAACCTCTCAGGCTCACTCAGCTTCAAACTGGTAAGAGAGCATGGATAGCAGATTATCCTACACAGAGGGGGCTAAAAATTATGCTAAGGTTCTGATAAAGCTTTTCAACTTCTCTTATGACAGCAGGGGCACACAAGTGGTCAACTTAATGAAAATTACTTTAAAATGTATGGCATTAAAAATTGAAAATGTATTTAAAAGAAAGAAGAACTGGTTTTATGTTTTATGAATATAAGTTATTTTAAACTACAAAATCATTGTGTTAATTACAATATCATTAAATGAGTAATAATACAATGAATTTCTTTGAAGTAATTTACACAGCACCATAAAATTAAATAGCAATGTACAAATGCAGGTAAAGACAGTCCCTAATCCAAAGAGTTTACAATCACAGTAAGATAAGAAAAAAGACAAGACCCTGAACAACAGATAAAGTATTATTAAGTAAAGTAAGATAAAGCAAGTATTATTGATGAGAAGAGGGATTGCCTGAGGGTGTGAGTTTAACTGAGGGATTCAGATGAGGAGTTAGAAGGTTGGTTATGGGATATGTATTAAATAGGGCTGTCGATTAATCACAGATAACTTACGCGATTAACTAAAAAAAATTAATTGTAATTAATCGCCGTTTTAATCGGACTGTTAAACAATCGAATACCAATTGAAATTTATTGAATATTTTGGATGTTTTTCTACATTTTCAAATATTTTGATTTCTATTACAAGAATACAAAGTGTATAGTGCTCACTTTATATTTGATTACAAATATTTGCACTGTAAAAATGATAAACAAAAGAAACTATTTTTCAGTTCACCTCACACAAGTACTCTAGTGCAATCTCTTTATCGTGAAAGCGCAATTTACAACTGTAGAATTTTTTTTTGTTATATAATTGTACTCCAAAACAAAACAAGCTAAAACTTTAGAGCCTACAAGTCCACTCAGTCCTACTTCTTGTTTAGCCAATCGCTAACACGAAAAAGTTTGTTTACATTTACAGGAGATAATGCTGCCCACTTCTTAATTACAATGTCACCTGAAAGTGAGAACAGGCGTTCGCATGACACTGCTGTAAGATATTTACATGCCAGATGAGCTAAAGATTCATATGCCTATTAATGCTTCGGCAACCATTCCAGAGGAAATGCTTCCATGCTGATGACGCTCATTTAAAAAATAATGCGTTAATTAAATTTGTGACTGAACTCCTTGGGGGAGAATTGTATGCCTCCTGCTCTGTTTTACCCGCATTCTGCCATATATTTCATATTATAGCAGTCTCGGATGATGACTCAGCACATGTTGTTCATTTTAAGAACACTTCCATTGCAAATCTGACAAAATGCGAAGAAGGTACCAGCGTGAAATTTCTAAAGATAGCTACAGCACTTGGTCCAAGATTTAAGAATTTGAAGTGCCTTCCAAAATCTGAGAAGGATGAGGTGTGGAGCATGCTTTCAGAAGTCTTAAAAGAGCAACACTCAGATGCGAAAACTACAGAACCCGTACAACCAAAAAAGAAAATCAACCTTCTGCTAGTGGCATCTGACTCAGATGATGAAAATGAACATGAGTCGGTACACACTGCTTTTGACAGTTAAAGAGCAGAACCCGTCATCAGCATGGACGCATGTCCTCTGGAATGATGGCTGAAGCATGAAGGGACATGAATCTTTACTGTATCTGGCATGTAGATATCTTGCAACGCCGGCTACAACAGTGCCATGCAAATGCCTGTTCTCACTTTCAGGTGACACTGTAAACAAGAAGCAGGCAGCATTATCTTCTGCAAATGTAAACAAACTTGTCTGTCTGAGGGACTGGCTAAACAAGAAGTAGGACTGATTGGATTTGTAAGCTCTAAAGTTTTACATAGTATTATTTTTGAACACAGGTTTTTTTTGTACATAATTCTACATTTGTAGTTCAACTTTCATGATAAAGAGATTGCACTACAGTACTTGTGTTAGGTGAACTGAAAAATACTATTTTTTTTACAGTGCAAATATTTATAATCAAAAATAAATATTAACAGAGCACTGTACCACTTTGTATTCAGTATTGTAATTAAAATCAATATATTTGAAAATGTAGAAAACATCCAAAAATATTTAAATCAAAGGTATGCTATTATTGTTTAACAGTGCAATTAATTGCAATTATTTTTTTTATTCACGATTAATTTTTTTAATCGCTTGACAGCCCTAGTATTATATATTAATTCTTTATACTTGTTTCTTACAATTATAGACCAACCTATTAGAATTCAAATTCTTCCTGTACGGAAATTTGGCTTATGTCAATACAGCACAAAAACTGATTAACTGATATACATATTTAGCTGTGAAATATACATTTTTCCAGAGGTTTTTATAAACAGCATTTCCTACTGTTTGAAATATTCTGATAGAGGATTGGTTTCTGTATAGCTCATCTGCTGCTGCATTGCACAGGCATAAGAGATCATGCTCAGCAACATCATTTGTCCTTAACAGCCATTTAATATGGCTTTTTTTTTTAAGGTGTTTTTGTTCTTTCTCTAGACAAGTTTCCTACTAATAAACTTGAACTGCATGAAACAGATTTACACTGGACTTTATAAAGCAATTTCATATTTTACCTAATTTGTGGTTGTTTTTAATTTTACTAGTAAATATACAGTGGTTGGTCCTACAGAAACTCTCTGCAACAACATGTATAATTCATCCCGTTACAGCCATGGATGTTCAGTTACTATCAATATATTTGGGGATTTCTGTAAAATACTCAAAACTTAATTTTAGTTTAAGTGGCCTTTTTAAAATTATGTAGAACTTTATTTAGAAAGAAATAATCAATTTCAATATACAAATTTAAATTCAGCCATACTTCCTCAAACCATGCTTCACATCTAGAAATATTAACGGTTTCTTCATTAAACTCCACTTAAGATGGAACCCAAGATACATTGCCAAAACAGATGTGTATTATAACTGTAGGTTATAGGCATTGGGATTATTTTTAAAAAAAGTATATTATTATACAAACACAGTAAGGGCTCAATTGCATACCCTTAATCACAAGTGGTCTTTAATGAGATTGCTTACACAAGTAAGGACTATTTACATGAGCACCCAGGTCCTAAATACAAGAGTATGTACATTAAGGCAGAAGAATTGAAAAAAATGAGGCAAAAAATATGGAGATCCAAAAATCAAGAGAACCATAGTTATTCATATCCACAGCTTTCTTCTTTTATGTTAAGATGGAAGACTTTTTGAAAATTTGTTGATATGCTTATACAATCTCTGTAATGCAAGACTGTTCCAGCAACAGTTTGAGGACAATAAACCTTGACACACTGTCTTAACCTCAATGAGCATTTTCCATGTGATGAAAGGGGAAAAATTTTATTAGGGTAAACATTTTGGAAAATGCTAATGAACATTATTGTGCACTCTGCATAGTATTTTTTTAAATTGCTTTCAACTATTATCCTGGTTTTTTTTAAATATTGGCGAAGTGCACACAATTCATTAGACCACTTTGAAATGTATTTCTTTTGGGCACTAGTTATTTTAGCACCTAAAGAGATTTAGTTTGAACTTTTCCAAAATTTCACTTTTGGACAGAGCTCAAAAGTGGAAAGCGAATGTTTCACAAGTTCACAACCAGAAAAGAAGAGGGTTTTAAAATGCAAACAGTTTTTTCCTTTAACTACAGTGGGTACAAACAGCACTTTCTATTTTATTTTCATGTAATATTTAATACACCCCCAACAGACATTTTCATTGACCTAGAATCTTGAAATATGGAACCCGCATTCATTGTAGGCTAATGAGTAAAGGAAATTTCCAAATTTAATATTTGATCTCTTCCTTTTCTACCAGGAGAGATCAGAGGTCAATAGTCATGAATGTAAACTATTCAAGTACTCTTTTTAAAATACATATATATACACACACACATACACCCACAGCCCACTAATCAATCTCTCATGGGACTATATCCCACATTACAAATCTCTGAGCAGTTTCGTATACCGACCATTTAAAAAGAAAAAGTTAATTTTTATGTAACTCATGGTAGTGCTCTTTTTCTGGTTTGGCTTTGCAGACAATACATTCAACATACAGTATGCAGTGTGTGTAATATAATGAAGTATATGTAATGAAGACAGGAAAAAGAAATTTAAGTTCCTGATAGGCTGAGAATTTGTTCTATTAAACAGTTAAATTTTCATAAACTAAGTAAAAGCACATCAGAAAATATTTTATCTTTATAAATACAGAAATATCGGTTTGTACTTGTATTTTACAAAATACTTGGCAAATATTAAAGAAAGTCTTGCAATTTTATGTAAGTCATAATGCAAAAGTATTTTTATTGTTACCTCTGAAGCCTCTGTACAAGCTGCGACACCATGGTATCTGAAATGCCTGGACAAGCCTCCTCAGCTAAATAAATAGCTTCTCTCAGTTCTTCTATGGACCCCATGTTGTCACCATATACCTGACTTTTCTCTTTCAACTAAAAAAATGACAAAACTACATTAACAATGTAATTAACAGACAAATTTGAACATGTAATATGTGTTAATTTCTATGTTTCCACAGAACTAGAATCCTGAGAATTAGTACATTCATTTTTTAAAAAAAATTATCATAAAAAGTCTACCTGTAGAAACACACTATTTGTAATTCGAGATTTTTATCACAGGTCACTAACCGAGCAGTCTAAGCCTTCACAAAAATAAGGCGGTCATGTGGGATGTGAAACCCCGAAACCAAGGATCATCTGAGGTCAGCAGCAATTCTATTTTACTATTTTAGAAGGGTGCTGTTGCGTACAAAGTAAGATTCAGTCACTGCCCTGAATTATTTACTGCTACTAATTTTGTACTACACTTTGTACTTTCATAGCATCTTCCATGTGAGGATTTCACAGCACTTGAAAATGTTAGTTCACTGAGTGTCTGTTACACAATAACTTTGAACATTGCAGCTGACCAATTCTAAAATTTCAGTGAATGTTCTAGGTCTCAAGGGACAGAATCCTATTTATTTTGGTGCAAATCAGAACACTGGAAAAAGCCTAAGTCAGAGGAAAATCAGGTCCCCCACACTCTCTGATGCTGTAGGAATGGAATCTGCTGCTGCCTACACATGAGAAGCAGCAGCTTAACTTGCTGCATTGGGAGTGTCTGTAGCTTGGATTCTAATGGAAATCAGAGAATCTTACAGGCAGAGTGTATAAGGGGGTAAATGGGGATAAGAGTGGACTAGCAGGGAACACGTGAGGGAGAAGTGGAAGCAGGAGGGACGAGAGAGATGGGGCAGTGATGATAGGGGGAAGCAGGGACCCAGAGGGGAGTGACGAAGTGGACTTGCTCTTAGGGGGAAGAGAGGATAGCTAAGCAGAGACCCACAAGGAAATCAAGGGGTGAGGAGTGGTGATGATGGGGGAAGCAGGGAGCCACATGTGTGGCTGTGATAGCAGGAAACCAGAATAGGGAGCGTGGAAATTGGGGAGGGGGAAAAAGCAGGGCCCCAGAGGGAGAGTAGAAATGGGATGGGGAAACTGCAGTTCTGGGAAAGAGGGGACACACACACTGCCCCTGCCATGAGAGGAATGGGATAAAACACAGTCCATAACATGGCGGGGGGAGGAGAGATGGGAACAGACAGAACCCCTGGCATGAGAGATGAGGTGAGGGGAGCAGCAGGAAGCCCCTGATATAGAGGGGCATAGGAAGGTGGCACACAGGGAACTTCTGGTGGGGAATAGAAGAATGGAATGGTGTGTGCAATTCACTCAGCGTACATAAGCATCCAACCCCCTAATAACCCAACACCCCCATGAGGAAGGAAAATGCTATTCACCATTTTACAGACAAGGAGGCTATGTCGACTTTCCACTGAGTCTGAATAATCTCTGGTGCAGAGACCACTCTTCTGGGTAAGTATCTGCTTACTGTGTTCAATATGCTTTCTATGTGGCATGGAAGCCTTCCAGGAGCCTCCTCAAGAACAGGGCTCCTTTGATTAGGAAAATACTTTTGGTGCTCTCCGTTTTTTCCACCCACAAGGGAAGCACAGTTGTAAAGACTGAAACATGGTAGGGTAGGAAAGGACTACTTAAATACAGTTCTATAGGTATTTTTTAAGTAATTTACTCTACATCATGTCTGTATTCCCCTTCATATGTAAATATACTTATAAAAAAATTAAAGAACCATTCCACCGAATATCTGCATAAAATAGTTTGTTAGATTCCAGTACAAGTTCAGCATTTATACTTCAAGGCTTTGAAACTTTTAAACTCTCTTAGCCTAGTCCACCAAGCAGAAGCTGGGGAGAAGTGAGGAGCTGAATGCAGATTCGACAAAAAACCCAATAATAGGAAAAACTGGTGTACTGCAGTCCAAGCAGCAACACACACCTCCCCTCTTTATTTAATTGTCTCCCAGCTTTATTTTCTCTCCTCATTCTCTTCCATTAGTGTACGTGATGTGGTTGTGCTACACAAATGAGCATTGCTGTAAACAAACTAGGAAAGAAACAGATGAGACACAAAACCAGAATGCTACTGCTGGACCATAAGGAGAGTTAACCTACCAGTTACAGTATCCTTGGATATGCCATTCCCCAAAGAGACATATATAAATAAAGATATCAGAAATAACTAAGTTTTCAGAGGCAACTTACCTCCACAAATAAAGGAGATATAATTGCAGATAAACACTGAGACAAAGGACGCCTGGGGGTATCTTTTTCCTTTAAGAGAAAAATGAGTGACATCTGTAATAGAGTGAGTGCGATTAACATTTACATTGTAGCTTCAAAATAACCCTAACCGAGCCTGAGCTATTTGATTTCTGAAAATGCATCCTCTTTGTTTTCTGTATTTGTTTCATAAAAAACTAGTTCTGATACACTACATATAAACATAAAAATGAATATGTAAACATGCACACATATGAACTAATTCATGTAGTACATTACGTTTTAATACCATCTATCAAAGTATGTGTAAAGTGATTACATTATGTGTGGGTGTGAATTCAATATGAAGAATCATTAAAGATTAGGTTTTTGTATGACAAAAGTGCATTACAAAACAATGCTTCTCCAAGAATGTACAGTGAAACTTACTAAAAATGTGAAGGGTCTGATCCCAATCCCTATGTCTTGACACATGCAGGTACAAAATGCTAAGTCAACCATAATAAAACATTTAAAAACAACATCACACACATTTACAAAAAATCAAACTGTAAGAGTGAAAAAGTATTACAGGATGAAATCATGTTGATAAGAGAGCCGTTCAATACAAGCAACAACTGTAATCTACATAATTTAAAAGACTTTTTGCAGATTTTTTAAACTGTCAAAGGAGTATCTTAAGTGAAACAAAATTTGAAAAAATGTTGGATGACTGAACTAGATTAGGTATGTTTAGATGTATATCTGGCTAGTATTGCTTTTAGCATTAAACATTAATACAGTACCTTGTTACTTTCTTGTTCCTCTGGCTGGGCTCCTCCATTCTCTACATTCTTGGGGTCTTTTTCTCTGATTGTAAAGATCCAGTCCCCTGAATCACGGCCACCTGTGGCCTGGCCATCGGTTTCACTTTTAAAAAAAATACTAACACGTTTCAGAATTTTTCCTTTCCTACATTAGTAATATTAATTTAATAATGCCAAAATAAGCTTAAAACCTTCACATTTGAGAGTGAATTTAGGACACTATGCTTCTCAGGCCAGTGAAAACAAGGCATGTGATAAGAATGATTAGGTTGGGTCTTAAGTAAAGATTTTGTTTAAATATTGAACAAAGATGTTTTTCTGTATATTAAATAAAGATTAAGGAGAAAGACAAACGTTCATTTACTACCTCCGACAATGGTTTCCCAAACTGTATGACACTAATGATATTCCTTTTCAGAGGTATGACAGATGCCAGCAGAGGGCTCCAAATTACTGGAAAGTTGGCAAAAGTTTTTGGAAAGTTTGAACACATAATTCTGTCAGTGCTCATTTAGCATTGTAGTAGGCTATGCAGAGAACCCAGACAAGAACAAAGTCAACGTCTAATGTATTTGTATTTCTTTATTTAAATTTAAAATAATAAATATACCTCTCCAAAAGTCTAGATGTCCTAACATAGTTATACAATCAATAAAATTCAACCTCAGCTGCATTAAAATCATCAGTTCCACAGTAACTTAGCCAACCACCAAGCAAATGCTCCCTTTAAGTGCACAGCAATCTGGTACGGCTGCACATCTCAGGTGGCTGCGAGTGCAGCCAGTACCCATGCTGCCTGCCAGCCCCTCTTGCTGGAACTCATGGTGAGTCCTCTCTGCACTGCGGAAAGCCTGGGGCCAGCAGGAAGGGTTTAGCTTAGAGCTAAAGAGCTTAGCGGGGTGCTGGGGGAGAGGCAGACACTCTCAGCAGGTAGGAGAGTGTGGCCCTCATAGGGTCTTGCTCTGCCTATTGGCCTCAGCACTCCTTCCGGAGCCCTTCCTTCCAGAAGCTCCTCTCTGCAGCACAGGAAGCCTGAGAACAGGGAGGGTAAGGAGTGGAGTGGGAGGGAGCCCAGTCAGCCACTATAGGGTCCCACTCCACCTGCCAGGTCCTCCTGCTGCAACACTTGGCAGCTCCTCTCAGCCCAGCAGGGAGCTATAGTGCAGGGAGAGGGGACCTGTGCAGTTGCTGCTGATGGGGTAGGGGTGCCCAGTCCGAACCCTCCTACATGCTCCAGGCTGTGAAGGCAACTCCCTCCTGGGGGAGGGAGAGGAGAGATGAGAAGTGGGATTGGATCTGGGGCAGAGAGGGAGGGCAGCAAGGCTCAAGCAACAGAGATGGGTAACGAATGGTTGTGGGGAGGCAGAGAACTAGGGGAGTTCCACCAGTCCTGCAATTGGGAGCCAGGAGTTAGAATCCTGCACAGGTGATATCTTTAGGGAATTCTAAGATACTTATATTGGTGCCACAAGAAAAAGTATTGATTTCAATAGTTTGGCTGTGGCATGGTCATAAGTCATGTTACTCATTACAGCACAGGAATGTAAGCTACATTTAAAATAACTTGGTGTGATCTTAAACCTCTTCAACCCAATATTTAACAGAATGGAAGATGCCGTGACTAATTACAAACTGACTGGGCAATTTAAATGAATAGATTGGCGAGTCAAAGGTCTATGTAAACATGATAAAAATATGATATGCACAACTCAATACAAAAAAAATCTAGAGGGAATGTTGCTCCTGCCTCTTACTCATCTGGGAAACACATCCTCAGCCTTTTCTAAAATCCTTCTCAAAACAGACATCTTTTGCGGCATGCCCTCAAAGTTGCCAAATTAGGCAAGTTTTGGACCAAGGCAGGGAGCAAGTTCCAGAGCCTCAAAGCCCTCCCATAGAAAGCCTTTCCACCCGCTCTCTCATAATGAGGGGATCTAGCTTGAGTGCTCCTGCTGATTACAGTTGTGGCAATACAGCACTGGAAGAGAGGCACTCTCTTATTTAGGGCTTTATAGTTTATAAACACCTTAAACTCCACCCAGACACCAATGGGCAGACGGTACAGATCCTGAAGCAGTGTTAGATGCTCCCAATACAATGCTCAGCTCAATAAGCAAGTTGCTGCGTTCTGCACTCGCTTCAGTCGCCAAATATTTTAAGGTGTCACTCCCTCCCACCACACACTGAAGTAGTCTAATCTCAAATTGACAAAATCATGGATAATATTGGTAAGGTCCACATCTAAGTGAAAAGATCACTATCTCATAGCCAGAGGTAGATGGTAAAATGCTGATGGGGTTACTGTTGTAATATGATCATCGAGCAGCAGCTGGGGATCTAAAAATCACCCATAAGTTGCAAACACTAGTAACTAAGTAATTAATGGCAGACAAACACCTTCAATCGAAGGGGCTGATACCTTTGAAATCTCCTATCACTGCTTCTCCCAACCCATCACCACCACCTCTGTCTTCTATGGGTAGAGCTTCAGCCAGCTCACTCTCCTCCATGCCCCAATCTCAACTCTGGCTAAGGTGTTGCACTGCAACACTGGAGTCAGATGAGATGGAGACATACAGATGGGTGTCATTAGCATAATGAAAAACACCATACCCCATGCCTCCTTAGGGCCCCATATACATGTTGAAAAGGAGGGTGACAGAAGGAACCCCACAGCACTGCAAACTTCAGAACTGTTCAGTAAAAGGAGCAACTCAACTACTCAATGAGAGGACTCACAGATGAAAAAACCGAAAGCCCTTGAAGACCTGCCCCATCAACTCTCACCAGGGTTCATCCTTCTGATCAGCTGACAGATCAAAGGCAGCTGACAGATCTAATACCACCAGCATGGACACTTAGTCTTCAACCATATGATTAGTTCAGTATCTGTGCCACATCCAGGTCTATACCCAGATTGGCATAGATCAAGAAGATCAAAGGCATCTATATACTGAGAGAGTTGTCTCACGACAAGTTTTTACACAATCTTATCTTAGAAAGGAAGATATGATACTGGTCAACAATTAGCAAGACTGTCAGCATCAAAAGGTGCCTTCTTAAGCCAAGGCCAAACTATTACTTCCTTCAAAGCAATGGGCAGCCTATCCTCTCTAAGAGAGGTATTGGCAATCTGCATAAGCAAGGCAGCCAGTACTTCCCCACCAACCTCCACCAGCCAGGAAGGGCAGCAAGGGCATGGATCCAAAGCACACGTTGAGGAAACAAGTTCTCTCAACACCTCCAGTACCTCAGGGAGCATCCCTATCTGGAACTGTAACAGAGAAGACAATGTCTTTGTTCTCTCAAGACCTTGCTCTCCTACCACGGAAGCAGACAGCCCACCCAAATCTGATCAATCTTGCCCACAAAATAAAACAGGGTTACTTAACCTACAGTAAATGTAGTTCTTTGGGGCGTTGTAGACAGTGTGGATCCTACTCTAGATATACAAGCATCCCATGCGCACAAAACTGGATTTTTTTAACTAGCAGAGTCTGGCAGGGCTATGCCTGTGCCCTGTGCATCCTCATGCTCTTTTGTGAGGATATAAAGGAGGGAACGGCCCTGCCCCTTCCTCAGTTCCCTTGCACTTTGAAGCCTGTGATAGCTGGGAAAAGTTAAGGGATCCACAAGGACAACAACAACTCAAAGTACTGAAGTTACCACAGAGAAACTAACAACTGTATTTTCTTCTTTGAGTACTTATCAGTATGGGTCCCAACCTAGAAGACTGATAAGCAGTATCCTCTTTGCAGATAGGAGAGGAGTCACAGCTGTATCAGTCAAAGAGTGACTGGAGCACAGCCTTTCTGAGGTTAGCATCGGCTCTTATCACTACATCAAGTGCATAGTGCTTTTACAAAGGTCAGTGGTTTACTCCAAATAGCTGCCTTAAAGCCCTTAACAATGGTACGTTTCTGAAGAAGGCCAAGGATATCACCCAGTCAAGTGTGCTCTCACACTGAAGGAAGGGTCATATCAGCCATGTGGTAGCAAGTGGAGAAACAAAGAGTGATCCACTTTGATAATCTTTAAGAAGAAATTGCCTTATCTTTACATCTACCCAATAGAGCAATAAAGAGGCGGGAAGAGAGCCTGAAAGGTTTTGTCCTGTTCAGTCCTGGAGACATCTAGAGAATGCAATTTTTTTCCTCCAAAGGAGTGTAATTTTGAGAAGACCAATAAGGGGACTGATTAGTTCAAATGTAACTCTGACACTCTGCTGCCATAGGACTGGACAGAATGCTCAGGTGAAGGGGTTAGAGGGCTGATGTCCACTATTATAGCAAGGACGCTTCTTAGGTTAGTAGTTCAGACACCTATGGCAAGAGAGTGTCCATTGCCTCTGCTGGTGTTGCTGCTGTGGATGATCCTTTTTTGATACGTTGGAGGTGTGTATAAACAATTGTAACACACTGTTTTCTCACTAAATAGCGCTCAACTATCAAACAGTGGGTCTTCTATGATGGACTGTACTTCACAGAGAATGACTGAAGCCTGGAGCAATGAGGTCCTTCTCATGGTCATGGCTGTGGTCATGGTTCTGGGCTGGCTGCATATCAGGAGCATGCACAGCAGCCTATAGGGATGTTTTCACCACTAGCTGTCCCTCCTGCAGAATGCCCTTGATATCCTCTGTAGCTTCGTAGGGACCTTTACAACTAGTATCAAGACTCTGTGTCATGTGAGAAAACCATACTTCACTAACATGGCCTGAAAATTAGCTACCCTCAGGTGAACAGTAGGCAACAAGTACAATTTCTTCCCAAAGAGATCCAGTTGTTTTGAATCTTTCTACTTGGGAGTTCTCTCGGTTGAGAAGGACTTCTCCTGTACTACTGAAATCAGTATTGATCCAGGATTAGGACAGGTAATAAAAATTCTCTAATCCTGATGGGGACACATGGGTAGTGTGTCTCTGTCCATTCTGCTGTTAGAAGTGCAGTGGTCAGCATCTGCCATAGTGCCTAAAAGGGGTCCAGAACCCCATCATTTCTCAGAAAGGCAATGCGTGCTGGGCTCATTGCAGAAAAAAACCTCAAAAAGTGATTTCTCTGCAATGACAGAGATTTCAGTCTCCAGTGTGTCTACTATCTGCAAAGAGGTACTGAAAGGCCTTAAAATCATCTGGTGCTGGCGCCGGGGCCAAGGCCATTGACTCCTCCTAGACTTCTTTAGGAGGTGAAGTGGAGCACTGGTGGGTCTGCACCTCGGATCCCTGCTCCTCCTGACAGTCATATGTCTGGGGTCTCACCAATGATGTGGCAGAGGGTGATCTTCTCCTCTTCCTCTTTGGGGGTTGCACAGTTCTTTAGAGCTTTAGCCTGTTTCCCACAAGTAGTCCCAAAAGGGCCACAGTGGCAACCCAAAAGGGCCACAGAGGGGATAGCCAGTATTCGAACTGAAGTTTACCCCTGGAGGAGAGGGGCTAGATCAAAGGCTACTGTGGGCCACACCAGCAAGTGGATGAACTAGAGACAGCCGATTCCCCCGGAAGAGGGGAGAAAGCAGAGTAGGACACAGCTAGAGGGCCGTGCCCAGAAGAGGACACCGCCGTCCAGGGAGTGACACAGGTCTTAGAGGTAGAACAGAAATGACGGCGGTGAGACACCACTAGAGGAAGGCGCACCAGCAACCAAGAGCTAATTCCCAGCACGGCCACCAGGAGGAGCCAAGGTGGTGAGTTCCACCCCATCACTGCCCATGAGGAAATTAATAATTTTGTCTTCAGAATAGGGTTTGAATAGTATGCAGTAAATGAGACATGGAATCACACATTGAACAATTAGAAAAAAAACACGATATTGAACAGGTCAGAGAACCACAAACACAGTTACATGTGGGACAGAGAAGACTGTCCATGACCATTACAAGATATTGTATCCTTGCTTTGCACTGTTCATGTTTTTCAAATAATGTGTTAATACACATTGCGTTAAAGCTGTTAGTGACATGACAAATATGCTGCCACCTTACTCTGTCGTGGGCTGTTGCTTTCCAGTTGCTGTGGTTAACCTGACATGCTTTTAAGTTTGATTTCATTGTGTCTTTATATTGTTTGTACTGGCCACCATGAGAAAGGAGTTTGTAGCTGACCATAAAATATATTCTCAAGTATTCTCAAGTCAGCAGACCAGTCAGTTGAACTTTCATGAGCATGCTCTGAATGCCAGATAGCCAATGATTAAGAACTTTGATATTGAGAATCCTGTCCAACCATTTGACCATGCAGACAGACTGAAGACATTTTGAGACATTTACATTTACACTGAACAAGGCACGAGAAAGCATACAGTATCAGAAAATCCTGCACTCGCAGAGAGATTGACTAAATAATTTCACTTTAATATTTTTATTGTCTTTATAAAAACTTGAATACAAAATACAATTAGCTTTTTCAATACAAATTATTTGTTTAGGAGTACCCATCAAATGGCAGAATTTCTCAATTCAAATTACCTGTTACCTATTATCTTCTCCTTTCCATCAATCACAAAAAGGAGAAGGCACTAGTAGTACTTTATTCTGTTCAGGTTCTTATACTACGTTCATCATAGCAGCACCTGAACATCTTCACAGCAGTACTCGTAGAGAGTTTATTCTCCATGAGTTCCCCTCTAACATCTACTCATGGCTTCAGTGGATGTACCTACAGTGCCACCAGGAGCAACTATTAATACCCTCTGTTCAGGAGCCGAGCCAACCCAACTTTCTCCACTTCTCCCTAGGGAAAGGATGTCCCACCAAAAGGCATATTTTCTGAAGGAATTTCTAAAAGTTAAGACACCAGAAAATGATCCTCCTCCTTCTCTTTCTATGTCTCAGAGTGAAGAAAGCAGATTTCCCTTCACCATCATGACCTTAAGTATATCAATTCCTATAGACCTAATGACCCTGTTGCCAATATTTGGAAGCCTTAATTGTGAATGTCCATACTTTAAAACTGAGCATCCATCCAAATCAGGTCTGGGGAAGTGCAAACCATGTCCCAAAGATCCCTAACAAATCATTCAGCAAAACCAAGAAAGATCAGACTTGATATTCCTGCTATTTCTAAGATAAGAAATAAGCAGAACAACACCTCCCCCATCCCCGCTTTTTTAAATCTACTTTTAGGACCTCTTTAGACAAGAACATCAAAGAAGTAGAAGAGAGCAAACCCTCATTTTTTCTCCTTTACAAGTCCCATTTATCTCTAAACTTCTTGGTTAATTCTTGATTTTTAAAACATCAGGAATGTACTTGCACATTCTTTAGCTTTCAGTTGCTGATACGCACTCTCAGTCTTAACTTCAGGTTAACAGAACTGGTTTAATTTAGTCATGAACATAATTTATTTGTTATACTTTCTAGCATGACAGAAAAGAGTGTGTGCTGAGCACTGTATGACTGAAACTAACAGTTTGAGATGCCACAGCAGATGGAGCAAACTGCAGCATAAAATATTACAAAACACACCCTCCCTCAACAAAAAAATTATATATTTTATAATTAGTCTTCTTTCACCTTTCTGGGCTTGAAAGCCCTCAAAATATTTCAATTAAGTTTTTAACTTCACATGCCTGGTGAGCCCAACATTTTTTAAATAAAGAACATCAGCTAACTAGACAAGATGATACACAACTGCTTAAGAAAATTCTCCTCCTCTATTCCTGTGTTTACAATTATGTTATAGATTCAACAAACTTACGCATCCGATTCTTCGGAGCTGGAGTCATCATGACTCTGTTCAGACTTCCACCTCTTGTGCCTATCAATGAGCTCTGCCAGGTACGATGTTTTCTTTGCATTTCGTATTATGAATTTGTGTTTCAAGAGCTCCTTTGCTGTCGGTCTCTTAAAAATAAAAATTAATTGTAAGCTACAGTCTAACTTGTTTCTCTATATTTGAAACAGTTGAGATGACTCACATATCGTGATTTGAAAAACAAAAGAGGAAAACTCATGACAAATAATATAAACAGAAGCTTTGATGGCTTAATACTAAACACAGAAACAAAGAAATGTAGGGCGGGACGGGACCTAGAGAGGTTATCTAGTCCAGTCCAGCACCAACCATACCTACAACCATTCCTGACAGGAGTTTGTCTAATCTGTTCTTCAAAACTTGCAATGACAGGTTGAAGCTTATTTCAGTGCTTAATTATTCTCTAAAGTTAGAAAGTTTTTTCTAATATCTAACCTATACCTCCTTTACAAGCTGATTATTTCTTGTCCGACCTTCACAACAATTGATCACCAGCAGTGCAAGTAGGCCGCTACACCGTACCAGCAACCTATTTATAGCCGGTATGGCATACCAGAAAGACACAGCAGCAGCCCAGCCAGAGGAGAGAGCTGGGAGTTCTGCTCCTTTCCCTGCTGGGAGGAGCAGAGGGGAACGGAGCAGAATGCCGGCAGCTCCTCCGGCTGCTGCCCCCCCACCTCCAACCTCGCTCCCGCCCCAGCCCTATCTCTGGCAGGGCTGCTGCTGTAGTATGAGGAAAGACGGAGATGCAGCTCCGTGCCTGGAAGAGCAGGGGGTGGGGCTGGGAGTTCTGCTCCTTTCCCTGCTGCCCCTCCCAGCAGGGAAAGGAGCAGAACTCCAAGCCCCTCTGCCCCCTGCCCCTGCCCTTCCAGGCATGGAGCTGTGTCTCTGTCTGTGTACAACAACAGCAGCCCCACCGGAGGAGAGAGGCTGGGGGAGAGGGGCTGGGAGTTCTGCTCCTCCGGCGGCTGTACTGCCCCCACCCCCCAGCCTCATTCCCCAGCCCTATCTCCAGCGTAGCTGGAGGAGGACAAAGCTCCCCTGCTCCAGGTAACATGGGATGGATGTGAGGAGGGGACAGGAAGAGCGTAGGGGGCCCGGGCTGGGCGGTTAGGAGTCACATGGCGGGTCACTTGGGAAGGTCATGTGCCCCCCCGCCCCCCCGGACCAGTAAGACATGGGTTTTACTTGCACCACTGTTGATCACTGTCCTCTTTATAATAGCCCTTAACATATTTGAAGGCTTATCAGGTCCCCCATCAGTCTTCTTTTCTCAAGACTAAACATGCCCTGCTTAACCATTCATCATAGGTCAGGTTTTCTAAAACTTTTAACATTTTTGTTGTGCTCCAATTTGTTCATATCTTTCTTAAGGTGTGGCACCCAAAATTGGATGCAATAATCCATCTGAGGCTTCACCAATGCAGAGTAGAGTGGGATAAGTGCCTCCTAAGTCTTACATAAGACACTCTGTTAATACACCCCAGAATGACATTAGCCTTTTTTGCAACTGCATCACATTGTTGATTTATATTCTATTTATAACCACTATAATCCCAGAATGCTTCTCTGCAGTATTACTGCCTAGCTAGTATTACTGCCAACCTATTCTGCAGTTGCGTATTTGATTCAAATCCAATCTAGTTTATAAAGCTTAAATTGTGTTTTTGTTTTATTTCTTAGGTAATCTGCTTTGCTCTGTACATTTGCTACTTATAATCACTTAAAATCTATCTTAACTACAAAGGTAGTTAATACATTTGTTTTATTATTTTTTTTACCTAAGCTAGTGTGTTTTGCTAGAAGTGTTTGAGGAACCTGCTTAGGAAAAAAACTGCTGCATTATCCTCTCCACATTGAGGGAGGGATGGACAGGTAATAAACTTATATTGGTCAGACTTTTGACCAGGGCAAGATGGTACAGCTCTGGAATCCTAGGCTGTAGAGCTGGAGGACAGTTGGCTGGAGCCTCTCTATTGTTAGTTCATGAATGGCTGAGGAGAAGCATTCATATAACTGCAGCTGGGTGTGTCCCTGCCTGTGTAAATGTGTGTGTGAGTGCAGGACCAGGAGCGGTCTGCAGCTTCTCACAGCCTCACAGTGTGAGAGGGGATCCAGATTGGTATGTCAGAAGGCTCAGCAGTACTCCAGTTCCAGGTTGCACCACAGGGAAGTCCATCATACCTATTTTTCTGACATTGAAGCCTGAGGCAGTCTACTCTGTCTCTTCTCAGAGACAGGAGGCTGATTTGATCCCAGATCCAAGAACCAAGGCTCCTACGGCCTCCTCAACAAGAAAAGGCTCTGAGAGCCTCTGCTTTTTATGAACATATGATTTGTGAAGGTCCCAATAACAGAGCAGCACTCTGGTGAATGGGATTTCACAAGGCAGAACAAATAGATGTATAATTAACTGCTGACACATAGCAGACACACACTAATTAAATCCTCCATTCTTATCTTGATTTTTAGTAGCTGGATTAGCTGCATTAATGGTACCCCTCCATGCACATTTATTGGTTCCTTCCATCAGCTCAGCAACAACATGAGGTGGAACCACCACCATCTTGTGTATCTGGTGTTCTGTTGGGGAACTGATCAACCTGAGCCAAGTTGAAGCACTCACAGATGAAGTCTGAAAAACAGCATCACATATGTGGATGCCAACCTATGGCCCAGTAGCACCAGACACATCTGCATCATCATAGTCAAGTTTGATTTTATCCCGAACACTAGCGATTGCATTGACAGAAATCTGAGAAGGCTAGGCTCTCTCTGAACCAGAGTCAATTAGGACTTCTATGAACTCTATCGTCTGTGATGGGATAAGACTATTTTCATAGTTCATGAGAAGACCCTGCTGCTAGAACAGGTAAAGTGCATATTCTAGACTTGCTGCCAACTTCTGCTGGGTTCTGTCACATATTAGTCAATTGTCCAGGCGGGGGTAGATGTGTAAGAAGGGTGTCTTCTGCCTTAGTTGGGACTGATATATGTAAGCCTTCTTTTAGGAGTTCATAAATTCCCAGGGACTTTAAGGTAACCCTTGAGGGAAAGGCGTGCTTCATCAGTTCTCTGGCTGAAGAGGACAATTTCCTCAAAAGACAAGTCCTCTGTCATGACCTTTATGCCATGTGGTAATCCCAGTCCCCACAGCCTTGAGACCCATCTCATACTAATGGCCTTTGCCATCAACCTTGCAGCCATATAGGAACCAGAGTCATCAGCACCAAACTATTGCTGCCAAGGTAATCTGTGCCAGGACTGTTGATGTGGGGGCTGTCAATCCAACTGGGGACTTTGTCAATGTTGAGGTGGCCGGCATCTACATTGTTGGTGCCGACTCTGCCAGTGCTTTCTTCACCATTCCACTGTCCGATCCCACAGTGTGATGAATGCTCAAGGGAGTGCTGGCTGATGCTAATTGATGCTGGTTCTAACAGTCGCTTCTGGGTCCGAAGTGACCTGCATGAACTGCTCAAATAAATGCATCTTGTGCATAGCATCCCTGGACTTACCGTGCAGGTCCTGGAGGAGAAGGACTTGCACACAAAGCACTTATCTAAGATGTGGCTCTCTCCTAGGCAGAAAAGGCACTGACTGTGTCATCCTTAATGGAGATCAGTCCGTTGCAGGACATGCAGAGTTTGAACCAAATACATTTCTTCTTCAAATAGGTTGAAAAATCCTGGATTAAGGTCTCCGAAGACTAATCGGTCAGTCACTCGCTGGGTTCCATCTCACTGTCACAGGGCAGTAAGAGAGAACTGGGAAGAACCATGGCCATTCCACTGTTTATGCCCTTGCATGGGAGTATGAGGTGATACAGGGTGTACACACAGACACCGCAATTCAAAAAAATCCAATCTCAAGCATTTGAAGAGCGTATGCTCCTACAATGGGATCTACACCGACAACAACAACATCTGACTGAGATGTCTACACTGACATATTACAAGAAGAACACTCATTCTCATCCAGTGAAATTGGGGTAACGTCTGTAGGGCTCGGAGATGCCTGGAAGAAAGTGTTGGGGTAAGTCAAAGATGAAGAATGAGGAAATAAGATAACAGATTTTAACAGACCTACTGGATCAACAGGGAACCACACAGCTTTGCACTATGAGAATTCAAGAAACATCAAAGTTAATACTGTCTATGAGAAAGAAAACTCATTGAGACTGTTAATACACCTGTATCACAAAGACACTAAGTAGTAACCTTTAACACATTCTAGAGAAAACAGAGTACAAATTCCCTGTCTTTCCACAAAGCCAAAGGGCTGAAGAAACAATATGAACACAAAGCAAAGGGGCTTTAGGGGAAGAAACAGGCAACCCAAGAAATCACTACGAGTATTGGAGAACCTACCAGGAAGAAGGCAAAGTAACTAAACAGGATACACAGTACTATCCTAAACAAAGCCAAAGGACTGGCTAAGAGCTGAAGCCTGCCAAGATATCAGTTCTGACTCAAAGCTCTCCTTTCCTGAGGCACTGGCTATTGGTCTGTTTTTGTGAGTTATGGTAATTCCCCCCTTTTCACAGACTGGACGCATAGACTTAACTAGATCAGATTTTCTCCAATATAATTTGCTCTGCACTGAGAGTTGACTATTCTAAACTTAAAAATAACATTCAAATACAGTCCCAAATTTGAAAGTGAGCATACATATGTAAAAAAAATTTGGCCAGTAATTTCCTAAATCATTTTATAATGATGACCGTTTAAACAAGTATTTTCTTAACACTAAACTTCTGTTTTGTCCTACATGGACCATTAGGAGGACAAGTTAGTGACTCCATTGTTGAAGATAAACATTGGGGACTCTTCAGTACATATTTGGTCAGGGGGCTCCCTAGACAAACACCCCTTTCTCCACACACAAATGACCTCGGCCCGCGCCACTTCCCGCAGCCCCCATTGGCCGGGCACAGCGAACCGCGGCCAGTGGAAGCTGCGATCGGCCGAACTTGCGGACTCAGCAGGTAAACAAACCGGCCCGGCCTGCCAGGGGCTTTCCCTGCACAAGCAGCGGAACAAGTCTGGGAAACACTGAACTACAGAATGATAGATTTTAAGTGATTATAAGTGACAGTAAACAGATCAAAGCAGATTACCTAGCAAATAATCAGAACGCAAGCTAAGTCTAAGATATTAGATCAGTGGTTCCCAAACTTGTTCCGTCGCTTGTGCAGGGAAAGCCCCTGGCGGGCCGGGCCAGTTTTGCTGCTCCAGGCCAAGGGGGCTGGAGGGAAGTGGCGCGGGCCGAGGGACGTACTGGCTACCGCTTCCCGCAGCCCCCCATTGGCCGGGCACAGTGAACTGCATCCAGTGGGAGCTACGATCGGCCGAACCTGCAGACGCGGCAGGTAAACAAACCAGCCAGGCCCACCAGGGGCTTCCCCTGAACAAGCGGCAGAACAAGTTTGGGAACCACTGTATTAGATAGATGGGGTTTGAATTAGCAATATCTCACCCTGACTGATGATACAAGCAGGCTTGCAGATTCTTAAGACACAACCTGCATCTGCCTTGCAGCTTAGGTTCCCCTCCCCCATTCCAAGTCCTTTGTCTTCCACAGCTTCTTTCAGGTGTTGAGTTGTGGGGCAGTGAAGACAAATCATGTCGTCACTCTCCATCTTATATAGTTGCTCCATATGGTGGGAACCCTTTGTTCCAAGCTAAATTCCCAGCCCAGTCTGTGGAAAAATAGAGGTACCAAAATGGAGATTAGTATCATGTGATCTGGTCACATGCCCTTGCGTGCTCCCGAGTCAGAGCAGCCATTGTCCATAGGCTGTCTGCAGCATTTCCAGGAAGGCTCACCAGGTGGGGGATAAGCTTCTCCTAAAGCCTATTGTTTCCCTTAATGGCCCATTACCTTGAATAGGCCCTTCACAATCAGTTGTCTAGACTGGAAGCATCTTGCCTGGTGACTGTCATCCAGTTGTAACCACATTTGAAATACAGATACATAGTCACTACTCATAACTTCAGATACAAAAAATGATACGTGAACACAAGTAGGATAATCATATTCAGCAAATCATAACTTTTTCATAGATGCCTCACATGCAATATTTTGTACAAGATGCCTCAAAATTATGTCATAATCATATCACAATTATACCACTATGATGAATATGGGGTGCAATGTCACACAGACAACACTGAGAGGTAGAGCACCATGTCAGTTTCAAGTCAGTTTTACCAAGTGTTTTAAAATTGAGACAATCAAATCCGTTTGAAATTTGGCATGCCAACATTTGTGTGTATTTGGGGGTTGTGGTGTTTTGTTTTGGTAATCCTAACCTTGTTCTAATGTATATGTAAAGCTGCATTCTAAATTTTGGGAATTAAGCTCTCATGTTCTGAGAGGGCATGAACAGCACCGGGCAGCCTTCTGTGTGCAAATTTTACACTGTGTGCAATATAAATCTGCTTGCAACTAAATTATTGCGATGTCACACATTGAACATGATTTCACTCTCTGGGCTTGTTTAAATGAATAGTGTGCAGCAATCTGACTTGTAAATCTACAGCACATTAGCATACTAGGCACTAATTGTTCATATGGACTCTCCTGTGCACATGAAAACTTCCCTAGTATATTCTAATTTACTCCCATTTACTGTACGGTAGCAAGGTCCATATGGACAGTTAGTGTGTGGCACATTAGTGCACTGTCAATGTACACTCAAGCCTGAACATATAAAAAGAAACACTCAAAGCATTGCAGGGAACAGAGATCTCAGCAACTGTGTGCGTTCAGGTGATATCACCACCTAGCACATGAGAAACTAAGAACTTGCCACATAAGCTTTTCAGTTCACTTTTAAAGAAACAGCACTGTAGTATGTAGTAAAAAAAGATTATGAAAAAATGTTAGAAGTACTGTACTTCGAGGCTTTCAATCTAATTTATCTAAAAGTTTTCTTCACGGTGAAAGTCCTTTTTAGTACACATGGACCAAAAAAACCCCTGTACATAACAGTTATATTATAACAGTTATATTCCCAATTTAGGCCTTTTTGGAAGAATTCTATGTACTAAGCTCCACAATTCATACACATTTTTAATTAAAAAATCTTTGTTATTTTAGCTAGCAGTCAGTCATCACTATAAAATGAAATTCAGCTTTAAATAAAAATGAATTTCCTTTTAAATGTTGTCCTGACTCCCCATGAAGTAGATTTCTATTCTAAAATCTCTTGGTGTAAAAAGCTCCTTACAAGGAATTCATGCAAAACACTTAGATTCTTTACTACATGTTGATAGTTGTATGAAAAACAGAATATATTTGTAAAACTCACGAAGCTTGGCTCCTTGTTCAAGCAGGCCTCAACAAACTCTTTGAGGGGTTTACTGTAGTTTTCTTCCAGTGTTGGTGGATTGTTCTTTGGAATGAGGAACAAAACCTTCATCGGATGCAACGCTGAATGCGGTGGCTTTCCTTTTGCAAGTTCTATGGCTGTTATGCCTAATGACCAGATGTCTGCCTGTAACACAAACAATATTTATAGATATATGGGAGGCCAAGGGGAGCATGTGAGGAAGAAAGAAACAGCTGATTTTACAACTTTCTTGCAAATTACTGCTTTCAAGAGTATGTTTTATTTTTGTCAAGAACCACAGGTTACCTTGTACTCACTTCCCCTATTCTGTGTCTCCTAGAAAAATGTAGTAGTTTGAACAAAACACAGAATTAACTCATCTTATGCTTCATTTACTGAATGAAAATACTATCTTGTTAAAAAAGACTGGAGTCTGAACCTCTTCCCTGGAACTCTGGGCATCTACTCTTCATATAAAATATACTCATTAGTCTCTTTTATTCAACAGCCTACTGCATCCCAAGTTTTAAGTATGGGACACAATAATTGAATAAAGTTTCTAGAAAAGGCCAAGACTACTTTCACATGGGTCAATATGATTTTTGGAACAGCGCCCTTAAGGAAGCAATACACATATGATAGTTACACCTGACTGACTAAGTACCATATCTGATTTGCATTTTATGTTATAATTAATAAAACACCACTTTCAAATCATGTTTATTTAATTAATTTAAACTCCTATCCAAACCTGAGGCCATATACAAGGATTTAAAACAGCAACAATAAAAATCCTAATACAACTAAGATACAAAGATTTTCAGCCAAGCTGCAATACAATATAGCCCATGTAATAATGTAAAAAGTTATAACCTTATATGTCCACAATCATCATCACATAAAACCCATAACATAACCACACAAAAAGCCTACTATAGGAAATAAAACCCCAAAACTATTTATCCCAAATCCCTCACCCACCACTTCCTGCAAAATCCTGGAAGAACAAATATGCCTTGTAGCATCTTCTGAAGATTACCAGATCCAGGCCCTTAGAGATCAAAGAGAAGTACGAGAACGGAGATCCAGAGCTGAGGATTCCTTACTGCTGCTGCTAAAACACGCTGCTACGACCCCAACCCCCCTTTTAAATCAGAGGACTGTATGCTCAGATATCTCTGCTGACAGCACAGCTTCACCCAGAGAAGCAATATTTATGATTTTAAGGGCCCCAAAAATTAGGACTCTAAGTCAAAATGCTTTAAATTCCATCCAGAAACTAATCTGAACACCATGCAAGTCTCAGAGCACAAGGATAATATGCTCTCCACATGCAGCACACTTAATATGCAGCTTTCCTAAATTTCAGATAGACATTAAAGTGCGGTCATGGTGTGAAAAGTGACCAACTATAAAAAGTAAGTGTAGGCTTCCATGCTGTGGGGGACTGACCTCAATATTGATGCAGAAATATATTAATAAATTATAGATAGACCATAGGTGAGGCAATATCTTTTATTGGACTATCTTCTAGTGGTGAGAGAGACAAGATCTGAGCTTACCGAGAACTCTTCTTCAGAGAGACATCTCACCAACCTTGTCTCTCTAATATCTCTAATAACATGGCTACAACAAACAGTGCATTAATAAATCAAACTTGTTGGGACTTTACTGAATAGTAAAATATAGCTACCAGTAGTTATAGCCAGGATGCTTGAAAATATAACAATATCAGACTATGTACCTTATAAAATGTTCAAGCTGACCAAAGGAATTGCAGGAGCTTCTGCTTTCTGTCACCCTGGAGACCAGCAAATGTCAGGAAAATAGCCCTCCTTAGCCATAAAACCATGCTTATACACCTAAGAGTGACTTATCTAGACCAAGACACCTTCCCTCTTATATAAAAACACCAGTTTGGTAGAAATGTAATCCTTACTTCAAGCAAACAAACCATGTATAACATTCAAGATTTAGGAACACACTTGATTGTGAAAAAGAATGTAGGATTGTGTTATCAGAGCAAAAAGTGGCTTTTTTTGCCCTCCCAAGAAAAACTTCTAGGTAAACCTAGGCAAAAAATTCTAGAAACGTCCTCATTAAAGTGAATATTATAATTACTCTAAAAACTTCATTCAGAAAAGCTTCCTGGAAAAATGTGGAAGCTGGAAGTATGTTAAACCTTTATTTCTTAAATGTTGAAATGGCAAATAGTTTTGAATTACATATTCGTGTTTTAAACTAAATGTAAAGTGTCCAGTGTAATTTCCTAATATGATTGTTATGTATACGGTAAAAGGCTTTATGTACAAACATGGAATCTAACTATGTGTTTCATTCCTCTCTAGGGCAGATCCACACAGAGGAGGACAATCTACCACTGCTATTAATTACTCTATGAGTTCAAGTGGCAGATATCTATGTGATGGATCTGAACATAAGAATGGCCATACTGGGTCAGACCAAAGGTCCATCCAGCCCAGTATCCTGTCTACCCACAGTGGCCAATGCCAGGTGCCCCAGAGGGAGTGAACCTAACAGGTAATTATCAAGTGATCTCTCTCCTGCATTCCATCTCCACTCTCTGACAAACAGAGGCTAGGGACACCATTCCTTACCCATGCTGGCTAATAGCCACTAATGGACTTAACCTCTATGAATGTATCCCGTTCTCTTTTAAACCCTGTTATAGTCCTAGCCTTCACAACCTCCTCAGGCAAGGAGTTCCACAGCTCGACTGTGCCCTGAATGAAGAACTTCCTTTTTTTTGTTTTAAACCTGCTACCCTTTAATTTCATTTGGTGGCCCCTAGTTCTTATATTATGGGAACAAGTAAATAACTTTTCCTTATTCACTTTCTCCACACCACTCATGATTTTATATACCTCTATCATATCCCCCTTTAGTCTCCTCTTTTCCAAGCTGAAAAGTCCTAGCCTCTTTAATCTCTACTCATATGGGACCCATTCCAAACCCTTAATCATTTTAGTTGCCCTTCTCTGAACTTTTTCTAATGCCAGTATATCTTTTTTTGAGATGAGGGGACCACGTCTGTATCAAGATGTGGGCATACCATGGATTTATATAAAAGGGCAATAAGATATTCTCCGTCTTATTCTCTATCCCTTTTTCTAATGATTCCTAACATCCCGTTTGCTCTTTTGACTGCCACTGCACACTGCATGCACGTCTTCAGAGAACTATCCATGATGACTCCAAGATCTTTCTCCTGATTAGTTGTAGCTAAACTAGCCCCCAACATATTGTATGTATAGTTGGGGTTATTTTTTTCATTGTGCATTACTTTACATTTATCCACATTAAATTTCATTTGCCATTTTGTTGCCCAATCACTTAGTTTCGTGAGATCTTTTTGAAGTTCTTCTCAATCTGCTTTGGTCTTAACTATCTTGAGCAATTTAGTTTCATCTGCAAACTTTGCCACCTCACTGTTTACCCCTTTCTCCAGATCATTTATGAATAAGTTGAATAGGATTGGTCCTAGGACTGACCCTTGGAGAACACCACTAGTTACCCCTCTCCATTCTGAAAATTTACCATTTATTCCTACCCTTGGTTCCCTGTCTTTTAACCAGTTCTCAAGATCAGTGAAAGGATCTTTCCTCTTATCCCATGACAAATTATTTTACGTAAGAGCCTTTGGTGAGGGACCTTGTCAAAGGCTTTCTGGAAATCTAAGTACACTATGTCCACTGGATCCCCCTTGTCTACATGTTTGTTGACCCCCTCAAAGAACTCTAATAGATTAGTAAGACATGATCTCCCTTTACAGAAACCATGTTGACTTTTGCGCATCAATTTATGCTCTTCTATGTGTCTGACAATTTTATTCTTCACTACTGTTTCAACTAATTTGCCCGGTACTGACATTAGACTTACCGGTCTGTAATTGCCAGGATCACCTCTAGAGCCCTTCTTAAATATTGGCATTACATTAGCTATCTTCTAGTCATTGGGTACAGTATCTGATTTAAAGGACAGGTTACAAACCATAGTTAATAGTTCCGCAATTTCACATTTGAGTTCTTTCAGAACTCTTGGGTGAATGTCATCTGGTCCCGGTGACTTATTACTGTTAAGTTTCTCGATTAATTCTAAAATCTCCTCTAGGGACACTTCAATCTGTGACAATTCCTCAGATTTGTCACCTACAAAAGATGGCTCAGGTTTGGGAATCTCCCTAACATCCTCCGCCATGAAGACTGAAGCAAAGAATTCATTTCGTTTCTCTGCGATGTCTTTATCATCTTTAAGCGTTCCTTTTGTATCTCGATCGTCCGGGGCACCACTGGTTGTTTAGCAGGCTTCCTGCTTCTGATGTACTTAAAAACCATTTTGTTATTACCTTTTGAGTTTTTGGCTAGCTGTTCTTCAAACTCCTTTTTGGCTTTTCTTATTATATTTTTACATTTAATTTGGCAGTGTTTATGCGCCTTTCTATTTACCTCACTAGGATTTGACTTCCACTTTTTAAAAGATTCCTTTTTCATCTCTCACTGCTTCTTTTATATGGTTGTTAAGCCACGGTGGCTCTTTTTTAGTTCTTTTAATTTGGGGTATACATTTAAGTTGAGCCTCTATTATGGTGTCTTTGAAAAGTGTTCATGCAGCTTGCAAGGATTTCACTGTAGTCACTGTACCTTTTAATTTCTGTTTAACTAACCACCTCATTTTTGCATAGTTCCCCTTTCTGAAATTAAATGCCACAGTGTTGGGCTGTTGAGGTGTTCTTCCCTCCACAGGAATGTTAAATGTTAATATATTGTGGTCACTATTTCCAAGCAGTCCCGTTATAGTTACCTCTTAGACCAGATCCTGCCCTCCACTCAGGACTAGATCGAGAGTTGCCTCTCCTCTTGTAGGTTCCTGTACCAGCTGCTCCAAGAAGCAGTCATTTAAAGTATTGAGAAATTTTGTCTCTGCATTTCATCCTGAGGTGATATGTACCCAGTCAATATGGGGATAATTGAAATCCCCCACTATTATTGAGTTCTTTATTTTGATAGCCTCTCTAATCTCCCTTAGCATTTCATCGTCACTATCACTATCCTGGTCAGGTGGTCAGTAATAGATCCCTACTGTTATTTTCTTATTAGAACATGGAATTACTATCCATAGAGATTCTATGGAGCATGTGGATTCAT